TCTAGTACTGTTCAACGTGTTCATCGCCATGATGATGATGAACTAAAAGAAGATGATGATGATGATGATATGAATCATCGTCCATTTACATTAAACGATGGTGATGAATTATCCGATGATGAACAACTTGATGATAATGAACATGATACAAATAGTTATCAACATATTCATGATAATTTTAAAGTTGATAATGAACGAGGTATAAAAATTTTATTTATTATTATTATTTTTTTCGCATGATTTGATTTTAATTAGAAATGAAACAAATTAAATGGGAACTTGATCGTGAACGTACATATGCTCAAAGATCACGTCGTTATGATAAACATATTAAAAAGACAAGTAGACGAAAACCAAAATTAACTCGTCGTGAGAAACGTCAACAAATGAACAAACAAGTTATTAAAAAAAAAAAGAAACATGTTCATTTTAGTTGATTTATTTGTTAAAAAAAAGAAACGAAAAAGAAAATGTGTAGTAATCAATTGATTGCACGAGACTTCTTTTTTTTCATTGTTTTAAAATTGAAGTGTGAAAAGAAAAGAAAAAAAAGGCATTTAATAGATGTACACTTCTTTTCTATGTATTTGTTAAGTGTTAAACCTTGAACTTTTAGTACAATTGAAGCAAGAAAGAGGGAGAGAAAAATTATATATAAAGCAACTACAGAATTCTAAAGGCTATATGATAAAATTATTAGATTTTGTTGTTGTTGTTGTTGTTGTCTTCTATTCAATGAGAAGAAACCTGAAAGATCAATATTATTTGTAGTGATCGATGTCTTTTTTACCTTCAATATATACATATAGATCAAGGTTGACGTATTACTACTAGTCGTAGTTTATTTGCAGACATGAACAAAGATATACTTTATATTGATATCAGATGTAGAGTATGTACGTCGTTGAAAGTAATCGATATGAAGTACCTGAAGAAAAATTTTACTGGTTGATTCGATGACACACTGCAGCAGAAAGAACGAGATGAATGACCCTTATGAGACCAACCTACAACAACACGCACACTCATATATATTTATATATATATATATATATCATACTATGTATAGAGATGTATGGGTGGATGTATGTGTGGTCACTAGCAGTCAACGTATAAATTAGCCATTCCGGTGTTCGCATTCGGTAGATTGAGCACTAACGTATGTTCATTGTCTGACTTTTTCTCTTTTTTTTTCACTCTTATTGTGATTAGTGCTCATAGTGAGAACGAGGTTGGAGGGCGCGTTAATGTATCATCATTAGTATTGTATACATGAGAAAGATCCGATTAGGCGACAAAACGAATAGGCGAATGAAGTGATTATCGTTCGTCACTCATCTATGCTCGATTGCATTCTCAGACTGAATTATATTAATTCGGATTTTTTTCTTGCTTTCTTTCGAATGCAGTTCTTAAACAATTCATGTGAAAATGAATAATTAGTTACCTAGATTTTAATATACATATGCTTTTTTGTTATCTTAAATTTAGTTATTTTTAGCTTTTTTTCTTTTTATAACAACAACTGAGATATTTATTTATCTCGTTTTTTGTATACATTTGTGCTCTTTTCTTTTTGTCGTCATCATATTCTACGTCTCCTTTTGTGGTGTCAGTAGTTGCAACAACCACAACCATTCTCTACCTTACAACGCAAAAAAAAGAACGAAAATACTCTCTACTCGACTCGCACACATACATCACATACGGAAGAAAGAAGAGAGAAAGAAAGAAGGGAAGAGAGACAAAAAAAGAGGTTCGTTTTTCTCCTTCTTCTTCTTCTTCTTCTCCGCCGCGCTTGTTCTTCATCAACCTTCTCATCAGCCAGACGTCACTGGTGCTACTCGTCTCTTGAACTATTGTATTGGTCGTCATGATATCATTCTTCTTTGATGTTTGACCTGTCGTCAAATAAACGACGACAACGATAATTATGATGCGAAAATTTCGTAAAATATTTCATCCAAAAACGACGATATCAACAGCAAATAAAAATGAAAATACTCATACGTCGAGTAGTCCTGAAACGACATTGAACGACACATCTTTTGTTAAACAAAATTCACCATCCATTAACAATCATTTGTATACAGGTAGACAAAAAAAAGAATTCTTTTATAGATTTTTCTTTTCTTATTTTTTTTCTTCACTGAGATTACCTATCAAGGACAATTTTTTGTGTTTGTGAGATTCTTTCATCTGTTTTCTTTTCGTTTTATTTTAATTCATCATAGACATATGTATATATATGCAATTTTGTTATTTGTTTATTCTCCGAAACGAATTGTTTCAAACAATTGATGCTTTTGCATAGAATCACTAGTTGACTGAAGGTTAAATTAAAGTATAATTGAAAAAGGACATTAGTATCGATGTTGTTTTCGAAATTGTTGAATTCTTTTATTTACTATTACTTGAACTAAATTTATCAACATAAGATAAAGCGATAATTGAGTCGAAACGGATTGTGTCTACTGATTGATCGGACATAGTTTTAGTCACGCACATATTGTCCGATAGTCAAGCAGTTACTTACTTTGATCATTTAAGAGTAGCGGCCAGAATTAGACATGCACACACATCTGGAGGCGCTAGTCGACCGATATATTTTACTGATTTGTTCTCTCTCGCAATGACTGTATGCATTCTTTGCTACAACCGATATATATATAATATATGTTTGTGTGTTCTACGTATAACTACATTTCAACATTCTCATAAGATACATATATACAAGGGTAGTAATAGTCGTTTGGCTTCGGTATGATCGAGCGATGATTATGATGATGTGAGATATCGATAATAATAAAATGAAATATGTTCTTCGCCTTTTCATATATGAAACATATACAATGTTGAAATGTAAAATATATATAAATGAGTAAAATATGTATTCTTGCACGTTACTATATTATCATTAGAGTGTAAATTATAAGGGATGAAGAAAAGGAAGAAACGATATATATTTCATTGTTTGTCAGTCGATAATATCTCACGATAAACGTAGTAGAAACTTTTTTTTTGTTATAATTTACCCTTGATAAAAGTGTTTCGAAAGGATATGATTTTATTTGAGAATAAATGGTATACAAGACAAGGTTATCTTTCTTTTATTCTCAGTACTAATCATGATAAAATAGTTTCGTTTTTTTTCTTTTTTGTATTAATGAGAAAAAAAAGTTCGTTCGTTGAAGGTAAAAATGTTGCTCAAAATACAAAGAAACAAAAAAAACGATATATACTAGTGATTGGAAATAATTAAAAAAACTTTTCTTTCATTCTAAATAAATATATAATGACATTTCAATAGATGTCGTCTGATTTAGAATTATCGTTTTAGATATCTTTTTTCTTTTTCAATAGTTTGAATATTTGTAATTATCTTTATGAAAGATCATAAATTCGTATCGAACTTTGTAAGTATATGCAATATGAGCATTTGAAGTCGGCCATTTGATATCCATTTTACGGATCAAAATGGGATCGACTCATATCGACGGACATATATATATATATGTATATGAATTACAACAGATACTATTGAGATACTATATATATATGTATGAAGAAATTTAAGAAATGCATGAATGTTTGTAAAACAATCATTTTGACTGATATTATTTTAAAAAAAATATACAATTGTGTCTGATGGATTGAAGTCTTTGAAACGTTTCGTCTGACAAGAAATATATTCGATCGATTGGATGGAAAATTGTGTCGTAATTGAGAACACATAGTGTGTTGAACAAACATACGATCATTATATACAATGAGAGAGGTATAGCGAGATGACGATGCATAGTAGTATGGGTAGTTGTATTGATAACCTCTTTCTCTTATGTGTCAAGGCGTTCACCATTTATATTGAGAAAGAAAAAGAGAAGCATTACTTCGTCTTCTTTTTCCGTTTTGGTGAACAGAGACATAGATACTCTAGCGTCCATTTCGACGTTGCTCATGATTCAATATGATGAGTGATACAGCATAAGCGAGCAAATGAAAGAGAACAACAACAAAATCTCTCACTATTACTTTTTACCTATTGCTTGTTCATTTTTGTTGAATAACAAAAATTACGACATTGCATATTAATACTCAGATAAAAAATATAAATCTATTCTTTTTTATTGCTCATTTGTCGTTACTATTGGTAGCTTATTTAAATGAAGAATTATAAGCGTAAACGAGCAAAAAAAACAGCCATCATACAACAAGGTGAGAGATTTTGAGAATAAAATGAAATAAAATATGAAGTGGTATTAACCAAAAAACCAACAGATCTTTTTTCCTTTTTAGAAAATTATTGTTTTTCATTATTTTAGACTTACCTGATCTTTTGATTATCACTGATTGTGATATAGCGAATGAACATAAGAAGAATTATACTTTCTTTTTAATGTTTCTATATAAAATATTTTATTCATATAAAAGTTCAAGGGAAAAGTCTTATCATGGACAATCAATATTTAATCAACAGGAAATGATCCTTGTTTCTTGTTCTTTCTAAGAAAAAAAATATAATTAAAATTCAAGGTAGAATAATCATAAAGAAAAACAAATCAAACAACATTTCGATGATAAAATTAGTCCAAAAAATATTTTGAAACACATTTAAAGAGTATTATTTTTGAAAATTATATAATAGAATCAAAGCATTTTTTTCTTTATAATTCTAAATGTTTGTTAATCGCGTACGTTTTGTTTGATTCCAAATCTAACTAAGAATTGTATTAAAATACATGATTTATGTACACACGTGTTGTATATCTAAGGATTAATCGTTGATCGAAACCAGATAACATATATTCGTTAATTTTGATATTCGAGTATATATTGAGAATAATAACGAACGCATAGATGCATTTTTCTTTCTTTCTTTGTTTTGTATGTTTTTAAGCCACTGACTCTAGTTAGATTTTACCTCTCTGTTTTCTTTAGTGTCCGTGAAAGAAAAAATATATAATGATAAAATGATTATTTCTTTACAAACAACAGACATAATGACAGTCATGCCGTCGAGTAAGGCTTATCTTAAGACTAGTCTTTTATGTGTGTATAAATTTGTTTTGTGAAGGTTAGAGAAACTGCGATTAACTTCTAACGGTAAATTGATAGTTTTGCAGTTTTCTTTTTTTTTTACCTATATAACGATACTCTATGCCAACCAGCTGTTGTTCATTTTTTTTCCTTTGAGAATATGGTGACAGGTTGCACATTCATTGATTGATCCAGACAGTTTTTTTTTGGTCATATAGTTAAATGAAATTATCGTTCGTTATGAGGAAAGATAAAAAGACAATGAAAGGTTCCTTTTTTTCTTTTGTAAAAATGACAAGATTTAGACTACTATTCAATTTATTTCTCAATAAATCACACGATTAGGGGTTTTCTTTTTCTCATTTTCTGTTTGCATATAAAACCACAGTCATTTTGACGGAGCATTACCTTGAAAACAAGTCAAATATTCACTAATACATATCAGTATACAACTTACCTGGAAAAGTATATTAAGACTGAAAAAACGAATAGTTACAGCAGTATGAGATGCTCTATTTTATTTTTTGTTATTAACACAATGATATGGTGGTTATGGATGCTTCTAGTTTTCCTTTTAAAGTTTTTACTTTATTTGTGTTGTAAACTTTATACTTACGCATGGTATATCATCATAAATGTCTACTATCTTGAAGCGAGTAAGATTTCTTTTTTTTTCTTTCTTCGTCTGTTTTCCTCTTCTTCATTTTTTTTCATACTCGTAAATAGTTAAAAAAATGTAATGCATACACTAGATACCTTATAAGATGCGCGTCAATGGCATAATTTGTTTTTGATAGGTAACTTGAAAAGAACTAACGTATATACGAACCAAGAAATAGATTCAGCCAGTTAAAGTCTCTGTCATCGTTGTTGTATATGTATATGATAAGGTCGACATATTTCTTTCAATCGTAGTGTCTCCTTTTCTCGCTTCCTCCAATCACCCTTCATTCATTTTTCACCGTCTACCCTATATGTATAAATATGTACGTACACAAATAATACTGCTCATCTCTTCTTCTTTTTCCTCCTACTCCTCTTCGTCTTCTTCTCTTCCCTACTTGCCAGAAACACAACAATTATTATTGATAACAGTCGATAACTGATGTGATTGGAGTTTTTATTATTGACGGACATAAATCTTGATGAGTTGAACTCGGGTAAGTTGTGCAAATGATTAGTTGTTATAGACGGCCTCCTGCAGTGTTTATAGCAGTGTTACTGGTCATTTATACGGTTTTTTTTTTGTTCGAAAGAAAAAGAAAGAACGAAAGTTTGAAGAGTATCCAATTACTTTTCATCGAACATAGAACTAATGATACAACAAAAAAATTTTATGAGTTGTTCTCATTCAGCTTTTGTTCAATATAGGATAAATACTAAAAAAAAGTCAAGAACAACTCTTCAGTCTTCTTTCTGTTTCTATCAATATTACTTATTCAATTAAAGCCTACTACTTCGATAGTAGATTTTGTTTTGCACTTGATGTATGTATGTGTCAACAGAATTCAAATGACTTATTTATTGTCTTTTATGATAAGAACGATAAAGAGAAAAATCTTTTATTCACTAGTTTTTTATTTCGTTTTCAAGAACGACAGTATGTAGAAAATTGAAATTATAATCACCTATATATATATAAAGTGACCTTCTCACTTTCATATAAATTGAACAGCGGCTAAGTCAACATAGTCACTATCGATATAATATTTGTTTTGATATTATTTTCTCACAATTCATATTTTAACATTTAGAATCACCTGTTAGTAGTACAAATCCTACTCAATCAAATTCAATATCATCAGGAGACGATTTATTACCTAGCGTACAGTATGCAAAAATGCGTATTATATCATCACCTGTCTTTCAATTACGTGACATAATACGTGCTCTATTAACCTCGATTCCACCATCATGTGATCTGATTTCAACATTTTTAACTTATGGTCAAGCATTAGGTGCATCAACCATCCATGGATATCTTGTTGATCGTTGTTATGATACACAAACATTAATAAATGATGAGTTTTCATCATATCAAGGTGTTGCATTATGTATAACATATGATGCATTATTAAGTGAACAACAATGGGAAGATGTATTTGGTATTCATGAAACAACATCAACAATATCAAAAACAGCATCATCATTTTTTCATTTAACAGATTTTTTATGTATATTAAGTGGTTCACGTGTTGTTTATTATGATCCAAATGAACGTATGATAAATGATGAACGTGCTTATGTATCAATATTTGATCTCGAAAATGATGATATTGAAATGTTTCAAGATCAATTTTCACCATTAGATTATTTTTTATTAAAATCTAAAACATTTTATCATGGTACATTAATACGTTTACCATTACGAACAACATCTACAGCACAAATAACAACACATATACAAACATTAGATGATATTAAACAACAAATATCAAGATATTTTCATTTAAACGAATCATTTATGGAATTATTATTAACACAAACAAATATAAATACAATTGAATTTGATTATACAAAAGATTTTCAAGTATTTACAAAATTTTTATCTATTGATAAACATTCATTAACAACAATCCATGATGCTCAATCAACAACACAACTCATCCATATGACATTATCTAAACAAGCTGATGATATAAATACAAGGTTAGAAATTTTTTGTCTTCATTTCTTATAATAAAGATTGATTATTAGCTTTATATATTCAATACGTAGTTCTTTATTTAATCTCTTTTAAGGTTTCTTTTTATGCAAATAAAACTATAAATTACGATGAATAGTGAGGATACAAATATAAAATGACTATGAAAGAGAAAAATCATTTAAATCATGTCTTATAAATATTCCTAAACAATTACATATATATATAGAACCGAGATTTCTAATCTGAAATAAATTTTCATAGGACTAAAACTTTATTAATATATAACTAGATATGATCTAAAATGATATGCGTCTTAATGGCTTAATGAAAACATTCTAACAATTTTCATTCTTCTTTTTTCAAGTTATATCTCAATTAAAGAAGTATCCTCAAAAAGACAAGACGGTATAGCTTTTTTCTGAAAAAAAAAGAAATACATTAGTTTTTGTCAAGAGAATTAGGTACACACACTTGACGATTGACTTGTGTGGAAAAGTACTGTTGTACTCATAGAGTAATAAAAAACAAGCTACACATTCAGATAAGAGTAATAAAACTTCTATTCAAAGTTTTTCGGTCAAAGAAAGGTTATTTTTCAGAAATAATAATTTTTTTTACTCGATTTTCAAAGTTGAGCAATCTGCAGTGACTGATAGTTTATTCAAATTTTTTATATTTCTTTCATCGAAGAAAGGTCTATTTCAAAATAATTGTTGAGTTTAATAAAACTTAACTTAATCCTAAGAAATAGGTCCCTCGCAATGAAAAAAAAATTAAACTCGAACATTTCAACAAAGTACCTGAACGTTTGAATTTCCTTATCGCAAAGATTTTTCGTCAAGATTTATAGGGTAGTCAAGGTTGAGTGGCTCCATTGCTCAATATATATCCACAATTTACTATGTTCAAATCTCAGTGTCACTGGCCTTAAACACTTGCTCTTGTGCTTCATAATTATGCGTGAAGAACTGAAGAACGCTGTGTCAGACTGGTCTTCTAGTCGGAGCTACGGTTAGTATTAAGAGTAGGGAAGATATCGAACAACTGGATCTGTCATTAGGCAGCACCTCATACTGCCAAATAGCTGAAAGGTAGAAATATTCGACCTTCTTTTTTTCGAATGCTTTGCAAAAAGAAAGTTGTTATTTTCGAAAAACATCGTTGCATGGATTCAAAAGTTCGACTTGAGATAGTAATACTCTAACCCTCTTGATCACCCGATATCCTCAAAATGTACTAAGATACTGCAAGTTCCAAACTTACACTATCATATTGGTTTTTTCCTACTATTGTTTGCCTTATATATATAAAAATTCAACTAACAGCATCTGTTGTTTGCATTAAAGATGATAATTGGACATAACACCAAAAAAAAAGTATCTTCGCTCAAATATAAAGATACAATGTCAGAGTTATCATGAAATGATGAAATAGGATGAAAAAACAACAATACATTTTGTTCATCTTTCTTTGAAAATCACTGAATACTGAATGCTCCAAATATGTCAACTAAAAAAAAACAATCGTAATTTCATACAATCGATAAAATATTTGTGTTGTTGAAAATCAGTTTCTCGTATCATCAAATAATTTTTATTTATTCATTTGTTTTCTTTTTATTTTAGTAATGTATCTCGTTGGTTATTATCAATTTATAAGGATTATAATGAAAACGATAAACATGAAATGCAATTAAAACTATTGCTTCCCTTAATACCTTTTACTCCTTCATCAGAAACATGTATGTCATCAGTCGTCTCCCGTAATTATCAATCAATACAAATAACATCATCACGAATACTATATTATTGTATAATACCATCATTAAACTCTTTATCTAAAGATGATTTATGTACACAATTACGTCAAATAAAATTTCCTCAAGCATATGCTTTATTTTTAAAAAATTTATCAAGATTAATAAATCCAACAACAACACTAAATATATCAATTGATCTTATTTGGCAATTAATGCCTGATATTGATGAACATCAACGTTTAACTAATGATAATCAAAATTATTCCTTACAACAACAATATCTTAAAATGATTCATAATCTTATACCAGACATTTGGGTAGAAATTGGTAAGATTTAAAGAAAAATTCTATTGAGTTAAACGCATTAAATTCCTACTATCGAAGACGAGTGGATTAAAAATAAATAAATTCGTTCATGGTGTTATCTTGATACAATTATCTCATAGTTGTAGAAAAAATATCCATTTACATTATTATGCGTTAGGATTCATGATTAAGGAGATTCTACCGCCTAAAATGTCCGATGTTCTGTTAGTTTTTCACAGGTTCGTAGTAATTTATAACAGAAATCAGATTTTAAGACACCATTTCCTTTTCTCTGGTAGAAAGTGAAATAAAAATAAGCAGACAATGTCGTTACGAAGTGAAGACGATTGGAAACTAGATCCCATCGTGTGAGTTTTCGGGTTTAAAAATTTTGGCCTTAATGGGTTATAGTTGTCTGATAAATTGATGCGATGGCCTAGTCATCGAATACAAAAAAACTGAAACAAAGTTCCTCGTATCTTCGGGGAGAGGAGGACTACCCAGTACTAATTAGAGAATTTTGTTGAGAAGATTAAAATAACGTTCGACCAGGTTTGATTCCCAAATATTTGGTTCGAACAAATGGTGGTCTAGTGGCTAATTCGCTGTTCCGAAAGGTGTTAGGCTATTGTGAGTTTCGTGCTTTCTTCCGTTCGTGGTCACCAATGTTATAAGTCAAGGATGGAAACATTTTCTACCGAATTTTTTTAGCTCCTTTTCACTTCTAATAAGATATCGACAACCCTATTCTATGCATATACACAGTGCTTTTACATGATTGTTTTGCAAGTGAAAGTCAAGGAAACATTTCATCTAAAAACCATATGTATGACATTTTCATATTTTTATGATCATCTTGCCAATTAGAATTATGATGAAAGATCAGTTTCATCATGATTCACTCACGAATATCAAATGTTTTTATCGTTTTATAAGATCGTCTGGTGATGAGTGTTCTAATTTGAAACTGATCAATGTACAAATAAGAACGAATGAGACAGTGATAAATCCTTGTCAAAGATGAAACTGTCATCTCATAATTACATAAATTCTTTATGTTCTATTCAAGTTTCATACAAATTTTATTTGCGCATATTACTGTATATTCATGACTTTAGTTTATTAGATTTTGAAGAATAATAGTTTAAATATCAAGTGATCATATAAGAGATGCCCTTCACAGCTAAAAACCTGCTGCGATGATAGAAAAGAAGAGTTCGTATATCACTGTCGCAATGGTATTCAAAGGGAATGTTTCCAATTTCACTGCTGTTATTAATTCATGAGGCTAATCAAATCTCAGAATATTACATTTGTATATACTGAAATTCTGTTCAAATTCAAACATTTTTAAAAATATCCTTGAAAAAAACACTGCTGTCAACGCTACGATGAACGTCTTTAGATCATTTACAGTCATTATTGATCTTACAAATTAGTTAAAGACTTTCCAACGATATATTTATCATCTGAATTCACACGAATCGTTTTCATAATTAAAATCTATCGCTATTATATTATCTTGTACTTTTTGACATTTTATAACTCTCTATAGGTTTCATAGTGTCTCCAGATGTTATCAATACAATATTTTTTTGCGAATTAATATTCTCATACAAAGAGATTTAAAATTGGAATGTATTTCTTTCGTTTTTTTGTCAAGTATTATACTTGAACAAATTCGCTTAATAAGAGGTTGCAAATATGTTTTATTACATTACATACGTTTACAATAGTAGAACAATTATTATGTTCATCTTTTGCATAACAAATTCAGAAAATAAGTGATGCGAAAGAAAAGAAAAGAGTTCTATATATGTAGTCGTGACCGTAACATTGCTTTCTAATTGAAGTATCTGTGATCGAAATAATATTATTAATCCAATAATCATTTTGAATATTTTATCTACTGCATGATTTATTTATTAAATTTTACACATTCGTATTTTTTTTATATAATGGAATTCGACTCAATTTATAAACTTTTATTGAACTAAAAAGGTCTTTTTTTTTTTGTCTTTAAGGTAAACAAGAATTATTCTATTCAGCTACCGATGGTTGGGGTTATGTAGCTATAGAAGACATGATTATTAATAATGTTGAAGCAGGTCCAATACAAGATGTTCTTACATTTGTATTTTCTGAAGCTAATGCTCCTATTGTTATTCTACCGTCCCATGTAATTAATGGTTTATGTAAATATTCTAATAAGCATTATTTACAAGTAATGACACCGTTTCATGCATCAGAATTACTAGCAAAAAACTCATCAATATTTTCACGTTTAACATGTGAACAAAAACTTTCATTATTAACATATATTATATTGAATGATCCTGATCCAGGTCTTGTACTTGAATTACAATTATTACCATTAGCTAATAATGAATTTATAACATTTCAAGGAAAACAAGCATCGATTATTTATATAATGGATCGTAATTCAGATTTTTTAAAATTATTTCAAGATAAAAACTATGATAAATTTTTAAATCCAAATATTGATAAAAAATTATTTGATATTTTATCATCAGAAATTTTTCAAGGTATGATTTGGTTTTCTTTCGTTGTATTGTATTCCACATTTTTCTGATAATTTCTGTCTTTCTATTTTCTTGATTCTATCCAAAAAAGAAAAAGATCGTTATAAAATGGCACATTTTCCTTCTTCTCTTCTTTTTTTTCTGTTGTCGACTTCTTATTGCGGGCGTTTCTTTTTTTTTTTTTTCATATATATTCAAACAACGACCATACATAGAAAAGAGAAAAGAAAATAGTAGAGAATATAGAATAGAGGAAAAAAAAGAAAATGTCTCAGTGCAACAAACCGAACGACGACCTCCAACTGGCACTACATACGACAACGACATTAGTGCTAGTGGCGATAGAAAGTTGTTTTTTTTTCTAACTAACAGTGTGTGGAGGTTTTTGAATTCCATATGTATCGGTCAAATTATTCTAATCGTTACGTACCAACGCAACCATCAGACAATAGTCGTCGATCTATATCGGCTTCACCATCACCTTATGATCGAGGTAATAATGAATAATAAGTAATGAATGGGAAGCTTGACACATTTACTGGAGATTGAATGGTTTCACATATTGACTGATGAAATAATGAAAGGATGACTTTATTTGTCCATTGATATAAATGATTCTGTTTTCTTTTTGTAAAAGAAAATTTTATGAAAGTTTTAATCGGACTTGTTTATGGTAGTAGTTTCTATTTGAATGTTAGATAAATAGTATGATGACATTTCTTATTTGTTACTATTAGCTGTTTCTTAGGATTTAATGTATACGTACGTCTTGCAGATATCTATAGCTAATAAGAAAGTAAATCTCGATACATCGACTTGTAATGAATAATAAGGGAATAATGTTCCTATAAGTTATCTAGAATAATTGATCAGTTAGAATAGATTCGCCTGGACATTGACGCCATTTTATAGCCAGCTAGCAATGATGTATGTATGTCTATCTTTTTGATGTTCAGAGAATGGAGAAAAGAGATCAATCGTGTCTATGTGAAAAGTTTCTTTTTTTTTCTTTTCCGACCTAATCCTAGTGTGACGTGTCTTTGGGCAAGGTTAATAAAACATACTCAATCGATCATCATCATCGTCATCATCATTTGTATGTTTGGAAGCAAACAAACATAAGGAGTGTGAAGCCAAGGTGAAAATGGTTCATTCATGTATAGTATTTAAGTGTTCATCTATCTATATGGTCAATGAATTAATAACTGATGCGCACATTTTGATTATTTCGTATATTTTACTGTAATTGAAGCATATTTCGAACAGAGAAAGGATTGAAACAAAAAAGGAAAAAGTGTGACGTTTTTTTTTACTTTAACAGATTCTTTTTTATTCTCTAATGATTAAAAGAAAGATGTTTTTTTACTGATTATAACTGTTTATATACATTGACTAGCACAAACTATCTTTGCTAGATAGACATCCATGAATAATATATGAGAAAAAAATCAATTTTTTTCTCTTCATTGCTCAAAAACGATAATATCATATGTCCAACCGTTCATACCCGTATATACATCTCTATACAGAAAATATTGTACTATATCGGCATCCTACGTGTGATTTGTCACCTATTATTATTTTTCTTTTTCTGGTCTCTTTTTTCTTCTCTTTCTCGTCGTCCCTGTCTCTTTCTCTCTTACTCTGTCATTCTCTCAGCAATTCCTCAATATTAAAAACAATTGCAGTTCAAAATTTTACTTATCCGGTGCTGGTTGGTGGCTTTAGTAAGCACTTGAATACGCATACGTCGCGATACTTCTTTTCTTCAACTTTCTTTTGTGTACACTGCATTCATACACATTTATGTGCAAAATTTTTTTCGTAAGATCTCGATATGTATTATCAAATTGAAAATTAATTTATCCATGCTGATCCGTGACCAAGCAAAACAACAAAGTAGACAACGAAGAAAAATATATACCTACGATTATCACTACCAATACCAGTAAAAACAATAATACAAAACAAAATAGAAGACGAACAAAAAGAAACTTAATTTCTATTTTAAATTGAATAGCAAAGGTGTTCATTTTTCTTTCTTTTTTGTCTTCTTTTCTCTTCAATTATTGATATTCAAATGGGTAATACTACACATTGTTCAACAAAACCCTCATCGCCTTCGAAAAAGACTTCACCTATATATAAACTTCAAACAAATAGTTCATTACCAACTAATGTTCATCATTATAAAGAACAAATTCATTCTCAACCACTACTTTTTCACTTTACATGTAAAGGTAATATGCTCATCTCTATATTTATTAGTGTTTTACTAATATCCATTGACTAATCGAAAGTACTTCGAACAATTTCGAAGAATTTTCTCCTTATTACTTTTCTCATTTATTTGATTTTGTCTATGCATATTCATTCTAATTGAACGTGACACATATTAGTATATATAAATTGGAAAAAAAAGACTAAATTAAATATACATAGGACCTTTACTTTACCAAAGAAAAAAAACGAATACTTTCTATATATACATATAATATATCGATTAACAAGAGAAAAGCATGATGTAACTTAATGTTAAATTTTTTTTGTGACCAAATAAAAAGAGAGAACTAAGTAAGCACCTTTATGAAAATCGAACTCTGTAATTAGAGTCGTTAGAGGTGGAGCATTGAATGAATGCATAAATTTTATATGAACATATCAATCAAGATTAGGTTGGCGACCTGTCAATTGTAGTATTGTATAAACTAAAGGGAGGAGTTGAAAAAAAAACAAACGAAGAAAGATTTCTATCAACTATTACATATTATGAAGTCGTTCAATTCTTTTTAAGTCCTAAGAAAACATCATACACAAGAAATTCTTAAGTTTTTGATAAGTATAATAATGAGTATCTATGTTTTTTCCCTTGTTATCGAGTAAAAGAATTATAACGACTGTAATAAAATTTATCAAAGAATGCTGTAGGCATCTAATGATTCTATGCTATTCATTTATATGATATTATTCATGAAGACTTGATCGAAAGTATAAGATAACAACAGAATACTTGATAAGTATATGTCAATACAAAGTCATAAATACAAATTCGAAACTACAGAAAAGATTATTCGTTTTAAATTCTACCTAATTTCTTTTTTTTATTACATATTGTTGTTAACTCTTACTCGTATGATAAAGATTTGAAAATGAATATGACTTTTCTTTTTCTTTTTTCTTTCTTCTTGTGATATTCGCATTTTGATATAACATTTATGACTGTAATTATAACCATATGTGTTCAATAGGTCTCTTCTAATCATATGACATTGAAAGGTTTTTATTTCACAATAACCGGACACATTTTCCAAATGTCATTAGGCATATTTTGCTTCTTGTCTGGTACTTTCTTTTTTTTATACATCAGTTATATGCAAATATTCAGGTGTTCTGATAAAGAAATATGAAAAAAAAGAGAAAAAAAGAAATGAGCGAGATTCGAAGAAGAGAGAAAAAACAGAGTGTACAAAAGGACGACAAGAGAAAGAAACGATATGTATGTATGCATGTCAAAAGGAGCAAGAGAAAAGATCCTTTTGCTAAGATTGTATTATAGTGAATAGGCTCGAAGAGTCCGCCTTCTTGTTCTTTCACTTTTTTCTTTCACTCGTCAATGGCATCAGCCTCTGGCACTACAAATCCATCAAAAAAACGTAATTCGTTCTTCAGTAATTTTTTGTCATCAAAAAATTTGTCGATATTTCGAAATAAAACATCTACAACAACCAATAATACGAAAAATGTGTCAAAAGAATCTCAACATTATAAATCACAAGTCAATGTAAATACACAGCAAACGCCAGTACATATGTGTATTGGTCGTGGCTGGCTTAAAAAACAAATAAAACGACCAATATCACTAGATCTCGATCTGGTCAAAACTATTGTACAACAATCGCCAATAAACAATAATGAACAACTACTTGAAGAGCATCAACAACCGTTAAATAATATCGGTACGATAATGGATCGCTTGCCTGTTTTGTATATTTATCTCTTCGTAGGAAATAGCAAAGAAAAAATAACAGATAAGGCGGAGATATTAGTTGCAAAACAGATAGTCGACATGTCGATAATGCAAACGGGTAAATACATTTCTAAACAACATACATATCCTTGGGAGTGTCTATAGTTAGAAATAGTTTGAATAAGTCAGATTTTTTTCTTTTGCCTTTGTGTTCGAATCAAAAAAAAGAAAACAGACTACAACAACACAGCACGCATCATGTTGATGTGTACATACTAATATTTAATCATTCTTATTCAATTTTTTTTTGCGTTTTTTTTTTTTTTTGTTAAATTTGATCATATGCAAATTGATAATAGAAAATGATCTATACGTCAATGCATTTCAAGTGATGCATTTTGTATGTTAGTAAAGTGAACTTGAAAAATCAAGGCAGAAATAATTGAAAAAAACGAAAAAGAAAAGAGAAAACTGAATATAGAAATAGTCTTATGTAATTACGTATATTCCAAGTGTCTGGTTATTTTCATTATATTTTACATAGTTTTGTCCATAAAACTAGGACAAATATTAAAGTAAAGATGAGATCATGTATATATAAATAATAAATTGTCTTGATACACGTTTCACTAATTTCTTGACGAATGTATTAATCCATTTGTTCTGTAATATATCTAGACATAGAAAGTTTCAAGAAGTTTTCTTTTTTAATTATTCAAAATAATGTTGAATAAAAAGAAATATTACCACATCAGAATATTTCATCATCCACACATATAATGAAAAATGTTCTATTGAAATTAATATTTCGAACTTGTTCATTCATACATCAGACAAGGCAATTACTATCAACATGGACACATATTCATTCGCAACGGTTATGTTTTAATAATGATAGTGTATTCCTTGATTGAGAACCATCATCTATTAAAGTAATGAACTAGTCTCAAGGTAATCAGTAGACATACAAATCAATTTGTCTCATTTTATATAAACATAGTTCAAGAATTTTTTGTTTTTATTGAAGGTTACTCTATGATGCATAGTAGCAGAAAGAAAAACAAAGATAAATTAATATCTATA